AAGAGCCATATGCTTTATTTTTTATCATTTATATTTATTTTAAAATATTATTAGCTGTTATTTAACACTATTAAAGGAACTCTGTGCTAAATACCAGATTGCTTGTAGTAAGTTGAAGTTCTATCACCAAAATGTAAAATCTTGATTTGCATGACTGAGGGGACAGCTCAGTTCTGCATGCAAGACACAGCCTGGATTTGTATCTTTTCAGATTAGAACCTGATCTTTCAGGCATGGGCTCCTGTCTGCTTTGCTCTCCCAGCGGCGCTGTGACACAGCCAGTCGGAGATACTCCATGGGTCCGGTTGGACCGTGGCGGCAGGAGCGCCTAAGTGACCGGGGGAGAGGGGCAGGCTTTACAGAAGAAGCAGTGCTGGCGCTGCTTCCTGCACGAGGCTGAGAGATGGCCGGGAGGGCGTTCCGGCCGCAGGAGGCAGAGGCAGAGGCCGTGGGCCACGAGAGAGCATGGTGTTTACAGAAAATGAAGGGTCCTGGCTTCTCCACAGTTCACATCACACACGGCTCCCTGTGACCGCCGCACAGGGGCCTGGGCTAGGGGCTCCCCAGCACAGACTTCCAGAATGAGATCCGCACCTCCTTCTCATCCTGGGACTCCGAAGCCCTGGACTGCCCTCCACCACTGTGGCCATCACCATGTCTTCTGGGGTCTTTAGGGCCATCACTGGTTTTCTTGGAGTGTAAGCATTCTGAGGTGAAGGGGTTGTCAGAGAGGAAGCAGGAGTCCTAGCCATGGGCCAGCCACACATGATCTGGTGTGTCTCTTATCCAGTGGCTCAGCCAGCAAACATTTATTGGACAACTACCATGTACCAGGCTCTGTGTGTGTGTGTGTTGTGTGTGCATGAACAAAACAGCCCCCAAAATCCCGCTCATATGGAACTTACACTCTAGTGGGAGAAGACAGACAATAAATAGCAGTAAAAACATACAAATATACATGAAGTGTGTTAGTGGTAAGTAAGAAGAAGAAGCTGGGCAGGACTGAGAACGGGGGTGGGGGTAACTATACGGGGGTTGGGAAAGGCCTTGCTAAGAAGGTGACGTTGGGAGAAAGGTCTGAAGCTGGTGAAGGAGCCGGGGTGAGTGCGAGGGCTCCGGGCGGAGGAGATGTGCAGACGCCCCGAGGTTGCAGCAGGCCTGGCTTGTTCTAGGAACCCTAGGAAGAAAGCATAGGTGACATATGGTGGACGGAGCCAGAGGGAGAGGAGAGGGAGGCTCGAGGAAGGCCAGGTGTTGTGAGTGAGGTCTTGATGGCCTCCCAGAGGACTTCTGGCTTTTCTCTGAGGGAGGTGGGGAACGATTGGAGAGTGTTGAGCAGAATAACGACATCATACAACTTAAGCTATGAAAAGGCCGATTTTTAAGACCAGAGGTCGAGAGTAGAAGAAGCCAGGAGGCCAGTTGGGAGGTGGTTGCTGTAATCCGGGTGGAGGGGACGGTGGCTTGAAGCAGGGCGGTCACAGCGGGGGCCCTGGAAGACAGACTGTGTCCTGTGGGGGATAAGGAGCCAGGAAGGACTTTGGGCCAGGAAACGAACATGAGGTGTGTGTTATAAAGAGATGATATTGGCGATCCTGCAGGAGCAGGATTGGAGCGACAAGGAGCTGGATCAGTTTCCGAAGCTCTAATCGCAAGAGTAAAGATAAGAGACTCTAGCTGGGGCCCTTGTGGGCAATTGTCAACCCTTCTTCTTTTTTAAGATTTTATTTATTTATGTTTAGAGAGAGGGGGAGAGAGGGAGAAAGAGAGGGAGGGAAACATCACTGTGCGACAGAAACGTCAGTCTGTTGCTTCCTGTATGCACCCCAACTGGGACCGAACCCACAACTCAGGCATGTGCCCTGACAGGGAATTGAACCGGTGACTTTTCGCTTTGGGGGACGATGCCCAACCAACCCAGCCACACCAGCCACACCAGGGCAGCCCTGGTCAACTTCTTACGTGGGATAGGAATGGACAAGATTTGTACATTTGGAAACTCGTGTGCAAACCTCGTCAAGGAAGCAAAGTCAGCGGCCATGATCAGGTTTATTCTAGAGGCGGCCTGCAAAGCCCACAGCCGCCCAAACTCACCAGGTGCCGGTCACGGTCATGGGCACTCCATAGCTCCCTCCTTCGAGGGGAGCATGGTGGCTGTCATCTCAGTTTCTCAGGTGGGGAAATGTGGGTGCAAGGAAGTTAGGCTCGAGGCTCTGCTGCTTCTTAAAGATCGGCACTCTGGCAGTTCCTTCTGAAAGATTTCTTAAGGAGATTCCGAATCGTCTGGTCGTCTCTGACATTGCATGGGAAAAGAGATCTTCCCTTTCCTTTGTGAGCTGTGGTGGTGATGGCTTCACTGCTGGGTAGGCATGAGTTCAACGCTCTGAGTTGCCAGTGACAGAAATTAGGTTAAGGAACATAAGTGAGAGTGAAAGGAACTGCAAGAAACAGAAATGTCCAGAGGAAGAGGGGGGGGTGTGTGTGTGTGTGTGTGCATGCACGTGTGCGTGCCTGTGTGGGTCTGGAAAGGGTGCAATGATTTAGAACATGTGGCCATGTTCATTGATGCAGATGACGTCGTCAGGTCACTAGGCACGTGCTGTCTCCTCGCTGGTTGCTGGCTGGGGTCTCTCCTATGGTAGGTGGTGCCCCACCTTGTCAGGAGGGCCGCCCACCTGCAGCTTCAGCTCAGGTCATCTTTATGGGACCCTGTTTCTGGAGGAGGTGACAGTGTCTCCCTGAGGAGCTTCAACAAAGAGGAGGCAGGAGAATTCTGACTCACCTGGCCTCAGCTCCGTGGTCCTTCCTGGGGGTGGGGGCGCAGGGTCGGCCCCATCTGAGGGGCATGTAAGGCATGCCGGGCAGCAGCCATGGAGAAGTGTTTGCAGGAAGTTCCAGGTGCGAGGCCACAGACATCACCGTCTAGGCACACCCTTGGGGGGAGGGAGCAGCGTGCTCCCGTCTTCTCCGGGGTTGGCGGCACTATTCTCCGTGGGAAGCGATGTGACCCTTGAGTTGCCAGCCCCGATCACTTTATTTTTAGGGAGCCCCCCAGCTCAGAGGGCCCGCTAACCCCATTGCTCTTCCTTGGATGTGAATGTTTCCTTTTTTCCAGCTCAAAGTAAATGATGAGGGGTGGAAAAAAACAAGAGATGACTTTAAAAAAAATTTCTCAACTTTTTTTACCCTGACACAAATTAAGATAAAAAGTGACTTCATACTGTGGGATACACACACCTTTGTTTACCTAACAAAACGTAATGAAACACGAGTTATTTCTTACTTAGTGTAAGAGACTCTAATATTTTCTGTTCTGCTTAATTTCATTAAAACACACACGCGTGCTGATCACAGCCATTATAAATTCCTTTTACAGCCCACTGAACAGTGGCAACTGGAGTTTGGAAAACACAAATTGATCCATTGAAAAACAAGCAAGAATTGTGTATCAGATTTGCTAGGGCAGCTGTAGCAAAGCCACACAACCTGGGTGGCTGGAACCACAGGAGTCCGTTGTTCTGCAGACGAGCGGTCCAGGCGTTGTCAGGCTCGGTGCCTCCTGGGGGCTGTGAGTGAGGATCTGCTGCACGCCTGTCCCCGGGCTGCTGGGGCTGGCTGGCAATCTTGGGTGTTCCTTGGCTTGTGGATGTTTCCCCTTCTCTCCGCCTTTATCTTCACACGTGTCTCTGTGCATACACGGCTTTGTCCAAATTTCCCCTTTTTAAGGGCACCAGTCATTAGATTAGGGGCCCACTCAACTCGAGCTGGACCTCGTCACGACAACGAATTATGTCTGCAGTGACCCTGTTTTGAAATAAGGTCACCTTCTGAGGTACTGGGAGCTAGGACTTCAACATAGGAATTTCAGGAGGAAAAGGGACATGATTCAACCCATAACAAATGATAAAAATACAAAATTGGAAATAAATAATGGGAGTTCTTATTATGTGGCGGACTCTCAGCTACATGTTTAGTTTCATGAGCTCACTGAATCCTTCTTGCCCCATTTAATAGTTGGAAGGCAAGGCTGAGAGGTCTCTCAGATTTGAACTTGGGCCTCCTTGATTTCAGAGCCCATGCTTTTTCCTGTGTACCTTATGCATAGACCATCAAGAAGGAGCCGTGCAAGTGCAAGTTCACTTGGTCTGGGTTGCAATGCTAAACACAGGTGGTAAACGGACTATGGAATTGTGCCAGAGTTCTTTGCAATGAAGATGTCTTCGGGGTCACACAGGAATGCCAGCGAACTCTTGGCTTTGTGCACAGTCTTGTCCCCCATGAGTGGCTGCGTTCCTAACAACACCCGGCCCAGCAACCAGCCGGACCACGCACTCTCTCCCTTAGTGTTTTCCTATCCTCGCTCTGAATTTTGATCAGGGTGAAGAGTAGGGAGAAGGAAATGAGCCAGAAAATAGAAAATTAATACTTGGTAGAGTCATCATATTTTAAAATTTGTAGACAATGTGGGATAATCAGAGTTAAATCATGTTATCAGCAGGCTGCTGTAGGATTGAAAACTTGGCATCCATCAATGTAAATCAGGTCCCAGGAGCCCCCGGGAGTGGTGGTCTGCGGGGATGAGGGCTGGTGCAGAGCGGGCAGAAGTGTAAATACTTGATTAGCTGTGTCCTTTTCTTTCCCACAATAGCTAAACTGCTTCTCCATCCCATAGACTGGTAATGGTATGTCAAATAGTAACGGGAGGGAAGAAGCAATTCGGGTTTATGGTTAGCCCACTTTAAATACTTTTACCTTCCTCCCTGTCAATCCTAGGAAACTGTCGAGTGAGAGGTGCTCATTTCAGGGGTGTCCTCCTGGCTCACAGGTCTGGAGACCACCTCCTTCTGCACAGACACGGATGGGGCACCATCTCCCCCAGCTGTTCAGATGTCACATTTCCGCCACATGCCTGCACACGGGAGCACCCACGGGTTTGCTGCGTTTACATGGGGAACACTGGGCCTGATTCAAGAGCCGCCTTTCCTCTCTTGTTATTGCAGCTCTTTGTCAAGGGCGCGTGGTGAGAGTGCCCGCCGGGAGCCTAGTGCGGGTGGTGGGCACCGAGCTGGTCATCCCCTGCAACGTCAGCGACTACGATGGCCCCAGCGAGCAAAACTTTGACTGGAGCTTCTCGGCTTCGGGGAGCAGCTATGTGGAGCTGGCCAGCACCTGGGAGGTGGGCTTCCCAGCCCAGCTGTACCGGGAACGCCTTCAACGGGGCGAGATCCTCTTGAGGCGGACCGCCAACGACGCCGTGGAGCTCCACATAAAGAACGTCCAGGCCTCGGACCAAGGCCAGTACAAGTGTTCCACCCCCAGCACGGATGCCACCGTCCAGGGCAACTATGAGGATACAGTGCAGGTGAAAGGTACATCCTCATGGGGCGGGAGGGTCACCATGCCAGGGGCCAGACTTCCTTGTGCCACTTGGCTGTGGGTGACTTTGTCAGGAAACTTGACGCTTGCTGAGATCTTGCTTCCCCCTCAAATGGAGTAGCAGCGTCTTCCCTGATTATAGGCAGAGGGTGGGCCAGGCGGCCTCCGAGGGGCCTTTCTCTGCACCACGGTCCCAAGCCGTCCCCGGGCTGGTGAGCTGGAGGCAGCAGGGGGTGGTGGTGGGGAGCCCTGCTCCGAGGAGGCAGGTGGCCTGCACTCTGTGAGCGCAGTTCCTGGCTCTCCCACGGGTCAGCTGTGTGGCCGTGGGCACGTGGCATCAGCCTCCGCCGCTGTAACAGTGCCTTTCTCGGAGCCGGGGAGTGAGGACGAGGGAGAAAGCCTCGGGACGGTGCCAGAGTCAGCGTCCAGTGGAGGTCACGAGGGTAACGCTTGGATCTGGGGGAATAGCACACACTTCGAGCTCACGTCCTTCCGTGTGCCCTTCATCACCGGAGCACCTGTTAGAGTGATGGGGTCCCTGCCAGCTGGTGATGGGCGCCACAGGCTCATCGGCCTGGCCGTGCAAGTCGTCACACCCTGGAGAGTGGCACGGTTTTGGTTTTTGTTTTCTCCCACTTTCCAAGTCCTGTCGGATTTACTCGCACATTCAGTTCTCCGAATTCAGCGAAGAAGACAGGGCAGGATATTTCCTTAATTTACACATGAGGAAATGGGAGAGTAGAGGTTAATTGCTTTCTGAAAACCACATAGCTAATTTAGTAAATGAGCAAGAACAAACCATTTTAATTTGGGGCTAGCCAAATAGAAACATTATTATTGTTATTTTTTTTATAATTATATACCCTACCTTGTTCCCAAAAGAATGGACGTCAGGGCAGTGTGTTTAATAATCCAGAAAGTAGAAGCTGCACAAGGTGACTTCAAAGTGGGGTTGATTCCCGTGTAGCACCTACCACATCCCAGACGCTGTTCCCTGTCTGACTCGGGAGGCACATGCCAGTCCTGTCCGTTTATGTAGGTATTAAAACATCAAGTCTACCTCTTCCATTACCTCTTCTTATTCCTACAGAGCATCCTCAATATGTTTCTTAGGAAAAAAGGTCCCGTAAGACATCCTTGCATTGCAGTCACCTAACGCGTTGCTTTTATAATCAGTAAACATGGGCTACACCTCCGTTAGGTCAGGTGCCCCTCGTTTCCCCTTGTAAGTGAGAGCAGGTGGGTGGCCCACAGTAGAGGCTGGAGGGCGGCCCAGGTGGGGGAAGCCTCTGGCGGCTGCCATACGCGGCCCAGAATCTGTCTGGCCCTCAGCTTCGTGGGTCCTGAAACTGGTTATTTGTGCCCTGAAGCATGACTGACCCTGAGTCGTGCTGGCTGGAATCTCAGATGATATAGATACTAGCTGGTCATGGTATTCATTTTGTAGTAGAGATGGGTCTTTCTAGATGTGTAAGTTTTTTCCCATTTTCCTGAGCAGTCCCCTTTTCAAAGAGACCAAAGTAGTTTCTGAGTGTGGGATGGTGGGAGAAATCAAAGAGGTGACGAATCAGGCTGTTCCAGCATTCTCTTAGCCAGCTCAGGGGCAAGCCTGAGCGATCGTCCCACCCCTGGGAAGACACCCCCCTCTCTGGCTGCCTGCCTATCACTTCCCTTCCAAAATAGCACTCACAGCCTGGCTAGTGTAGCTCAGTGGCTTGAGTGTTGAACTGTGAAGCAAAAGGTCATCAGTTCGATTCCTAGTCAGGGCACATGCCTGGGTTGCAGGCCAGGTCCCCAGTTGGGGACGTGACAGAGGCAACCACATGTGGATGTTTCTCTCCCTTTATTCCTCCCCCCTTTCTCTCTCTCTCTCTCTCTAAAAATAAATAAATAAAATCTTTAAAAAAATAGCCCTCCCCAAAGTTCCTTGATCTCTGGCCCTCTTTTTCTGGATTCCGTAGAAGAGCCCAGCCCTTCCCCAGATGGCCAGGAGAGAACAGAGGGCTGAGACTCCCACTCCCCCTGACGGGTTCTCCAGGCTGCTCACTGCAGCCAGTCTGGGCGGTGCCCAGGCTGCACGGCCCAGGCGGCGTGAGCCGAGCTTCTCTCCAGCTGTCCTGAGCACGTCCCCGTGTAACTCGTTGAACTCTGTCAGCTCCCTGAGACAGGTCCACTTGTGACCCCTTTCTAGAGATGAGGAAACTGAGGCACAGTGGGGAGAGGGTGGCTTCAGGGCGGCAGACGCAGATCCCCAAGGCACGACTTCCCGAAGGGAGTTTTCACCCCAGTTCTACCAGGGGGTCTTATTAGGCCCAGTTCTACCAGGGGGTCTTATTAGGCCCTTTTTCTTTTTTTTTATTTTTTAATTTTCAAGGCAGAAAGTCCATTGAGATTATAGATGAATGGAAATGAGAAAAAGCACCCACCTGGGCATGAGAACAGGGGAGGGGAGGAGGACGTTGCCCTCGGTCGCAGCCTGGCACGTGGCTCAGGGCCAGAAAGGGCGCTGGTGCTTGCTGGGGCAGGGGCTCGGGTGCCCTGCTGACGGTCTGTCTCCCCTGCAGTGTTGTCCGACGCCCTGCACGTGGCCGCCAGCCCGCCGTCCTCCCCGGGCCAGGGCCTGAGTCTGCACCTGGGCGAGCCCTTCGAGCTGCGCTGCGCGGCCACCACCACGTCCCCGCTGCACACCCACCTGGCGCTGCTGTGGGAGCTGCAGCACGGCCCCACCTGGCAGAGTGTCCTCGGCCTGACCCACGAGGGCCGGCTGCGCCCGGGCCCTGGCTACGAGCAGCGCTACCATGGCGGGGACGTGCGCCTGGACACCGTGGGCAGCGACGGCTTCCGCCTCTCCGTGTCCCGGGCCCTGGCCACCGACCAGGGCACCTACAGGTGCGTCGTCAGCGAGTGGATCGAAGAGCAGGGCAACTGGCAAGAAATCCAAGAAAAAGCCGTGGACGTGGCCACCGTGCTGATCCAGCCGACAGGTGAGCTTCTGGAAACTGGATGTTTTAGATTTTATCTTGTTTTCTGACCAGGATGGTGTAAGAACTGGGTGGGAGGCCCAGCCCTTTCTGAGAAGATTTCTGCTCCTCTCGTGAGGCCTGGTGTTGGGGGTGGGGAGGGAGGAGGGTGGCTGGTAGCTGGGGAAGGTAGATTCGTGTCGTGCTTTACGCCAGTGGTTTTGCTTCGCAGCCACTGCTCATCTGGGTTCGTGCCCCCTGGGAACCTGCAGGTTACCTGTGATACTAAGGCAATGTTTAGACTGAAAGACAAGTCCCTCTGAGTGCCAGAGTGAGGCCTAGCCTGGTGTCCAGAGGGCCTTTGGGGTGGAGCCGCCACAGCCAGCTCCCGTGGCTTTATCCTGTTTGGTGTTTCCTGAATCTCTGGATACGCCATTCCCTTCCTCTACTGAGGATGTGAGGCTCACCCAGCTCAGCCTCTAGTCTAAGCTGACCCTCTGGGCCTCCCTCTCGGGCCCCCTCAGATGCTCTTCTTCCAGGTGAAGAGTTCTCCAGGGTGGGGCCTCTTCTTGTTTCCTCTGCGACCACCCCAGAGAGCACCCATCCAGCCCTGAGGGCGCCAGGCCAGCCGTCCCTTGTCCTGTCCGCTGGGCGCCAGCTCCAAAAACAAAACAGGGAACAAAAACCCCAAAACACAACCTTCTAATCCAATTAGAGAAGTAGTTCAGAAAATACAAAATGCATTTTAGAAAACCCATAAAAATAAGAAAAACAAATAAGAAAGAAAAGCAAGCCAGTACTGATTCCACGTCCCACAGCTTCAACAGAGAACCTGCCAGATGACCGGCTGTGTCCTGGGCCCTGGAGTCGGAGTTGCTGGGAGCATTCCCAGGCCCCACAGCACATGGGCTTTGGCAGAGACAAAGTGTGACGAGACCACCCCAGCCTGATGTGGTTGCTGTGGATGGGTGGATGGATGTGCTTGGTTTTCTGGGAGTCCGACATCTTCAGATCTCAGAGTTCTTTACTGCCAGAGCAGCTGCCCGCCGGCTGTGAACTGGGAAGACCTTGGCCAGACTCACTTCCTGAGCATAAACACAAGTGTGTGGCCATTCTGTCGCTCAGATGGGAAGGAAAGCGGCAAACGGTCCACACGGGAGTGTTTGTCCTCTGCAGGCTGCAGCGTCCTGAGCGTCTCGCCCTGCGTGTCCACTGCCGCACGGGAGCTGGATTTGGTAAAAGCAGGACGGAGGTTCTCAGCGACCGTGGCCGTCACTGTGGTGGGAGGTGCACTTGCCAAGGAGGGGCCGCCCATCGTGGTCAGTCCTGGTTCCACTGGCCGCAGGAATCGCGTCCCAGATGGACTCGGGCCACCTTCCTGTTCAGAAGTGACCTGCCTGGAATCTGTCTTAAGAAACCTCGGCCATTCAGCCTGCATCCAACAACTGTTTTCACGGGCAGAAGGGTTAAGATTTGCAGCAGGTTTTCTTGTCGTGCAGGAATTTCAGTGGCAAAGGTGTTTTTTATTTCAAACAAGCCACAGAACCCGTGATACCTCGTTACAGGACTTGAGCCCTCTGAACTGTTGGGCAGGTCCTAGCATTTGGCTCTCACCTGGGCCTGGGCGTCGATAACCTTTTTGTGTCACGAGCTTCTTTGACGGTCCCTCGAAGCCCACAGACCCCCCTCCCCCAGAATTAACATGTATTAAAGCATAAAATACATTCATAGGGTGGTAAAGAAAAACAAATGTATTGAAGTAGTTATCAAAACATTTTTAGGACAAATTTGTTACAGAACCATGTTGTGCTTCTTCGGTGCTTTTTTAAATAATGGGATATAGTGCCAGGCCGAACAACGACTGGGGTTTCCGCGGGGTGACGACGAATGTGAGTGATATTCAAGCGTGTCTGCAACAATTGCAATGTGATGTAAAAACATCTGTGACTTCTCTTGTGGCAAAATCCCAGGGACAGATAATACTACACTGGTTTGTTGCTTAAGCCTCATAATGAGAGGAGATGTGGTATTTCAGGTTGAGATTAGTAAAAATAAAGACAAATTTTTTTTTTCATCCATCCTGGATTCTCCTCTTGGAGCTCAGGTTAAACCCCCCACGCTAGGTTGCTGCTCCTTCTCTTGTCGACCCCTGCACTCTCCACAGCTGGTCCCTGAATATTCTTAGTGCCTTGTTGGGACAAACAGCGCAAACCTACTGAAACTGTGAGGCTGTGTTGCCCGTGTGACAGTACTCACACACCGCCCCACCCCTTATGAGTGGTCTGGTAGATGCAGATTTTGGCGTCTGTTACGGATTTGATTAAGTGCAGTAGGAGAAAGCCTGACCGTGCCGTAGGCTCGGCCTGAGGTCCTCGCTTGCATTATGAGGGCTTAGAACTTCTTTTGTTCTTTAGCCTGCTCCTTCCGGTTTCCCACAAGTGATGCCCCCCCCCCAGTCCAGAACTTGTGGCAGTGATGGTTAGTGGTGTGACAAGATACTCAGCCGCTTGCTGAGATCATTACAAAGAGAACTGTGCAGTTGAAACACATTTCTGCCACTGACCCCTACACCTAAGGAGACTCTGTTCACTCCTCACGGACGGTCTGCAGCTGAGTGTGGACCACATCTTCACTCACCTGGCTCCGTCCTGAGCCGCCTCTGCCTCCGGCGGCTGGTGGCTGGTGGCCAGCACACAGGCCTCCAGCAGTCGTCCGGGGTCTCCGGCCACAGTCGTGGCACGTGGGGCGGTTCCACCTGCAGCACGGGCTTAGGGCTACAGTTTCCATCCTGACTCCTCTCAAAAGACACCCTCAGGTGACTTTTCACCCCTTTAAAGGGTCACCCTCAGGAGGAGGATACTTTGGAGAGCAGGTGGAGGTGAGAAATTAGACATTTAAGTTCCTTTTTCTAATGACTATGCCCACCTCATTTTCGGTCTTCCTCGAGGTGCGTCTCGAACTTGGCCAGAGATACTTGTTTGAAGTGTCATCAGGCTTTGGAAATATTCACGAGAAAGTGGTTTACTGCAGGGGCCTGGGCTTTGGGGCTGGTCTTCTCTGAGCCGGGCACCGGCCTCTGTCCCTGAGCCTCCCCCACACCGCAGTCCAGGCTGGACGCCGGCCTCTGTCCTGGAGCCTCCCCCACACCGCGGTCCAGGCTGGACGCCGGCCTCTGTCCCGGAGCCTCCCCCACACCGCGGTCCAGGCTGGGCGGCTCTTGCCGGGACAGCAGGACGGCGTCATCTGAGCAGCTGTTCCCACAGCATCACCACGAGCTGACTGTTTTTCTACTCTGATTACAGATGTTCGGCTTCTTTTTAAAAGTCCCCTAAATAAAGTAAAAGGTCTCCATGTAAAATGCTGTGACAGGGGAATGCTGAAACCGGATCTGCCTTGAGACGGTGGCACCAAGTCCGCTGGTGCTTCCTCTAAATATAGTCTCCCTCTAACCATCCACATAATGAGAGAGGCTGCGGCGTGGACAACCCCACAGTCGTCGTTGTGGTTTGAAACTATGTGCTTCGCGCTTAACGCTAGGGTGGTGTGCATAACGGAGTGAATGATGTTCTACGTGCACCACAATTTGAAGACTTGACTCATAAGGTGTATGGTCTGGTTTCAATTTCTCGGTCCTTCTGTTAGGATTTCCCCCTTTTTTTACCCAAAAGATGGTTTCACCCTCACCTCCTACCCTCCATCCTCCAACCCCCACGCCCAGTCCCCAACTCATGATTTGTACCAGTCAGAACTGAACTGTGCTTTCTCTGTAAAGTCACCCCCGTCTGGTCATGCTCGTGGAGAAAGTTCTGACTTTCTTCATGAACGTATGAAATGGACGTTCAGCAGACTTCTCTTCAAACAGCAGTGTATCAGTTAGAAGCAGAGTTCCCGGGGGCAGGCAGCCTGGATTCGAATTCCAGCTCCGTGTGGCCTGGGGCAAGTTACTTAAGTTCTCGGTGCTTCGGTTTCCTCATCAGGAACGTGGAGGTAATAATAGTGCCTGCCTCCTAGGGTTGTTTTCTACGTTACTGTTTTTAAAGCACTCAGGACAGTGCCTGGCATATAGTGAGTGTATACAAGTTTATATGAGTTCAAAGGAAATGCGGTATGGTTCACGAATTTATTTAATAAATATTCCTCAGGCATTTACAACTGTACAAAGCCTTCTTTTTTATTTTATTTATTTACTTTTAGAGAGAGGGGAAGGGAAGGAGAGAGAAGGAGAGAAACACCAATGTGTGGTTGCCTCTCATGTGCCTTCCCACTGGGGACCTGGCCTGCAACCTAGGCATGTGCCCCGACTGGGAATTGAACCATTGACCCTTTGGTTCACAGCCCACACTCAATCCACTGAGCTATACCAGCCAGGGCTGTACAAAACCTTCTAACTTTAATGCCATAAATGAGAATGGAAAAGGAGATGATCTGGAGGCAGGAGGAAGGGACAAACGCTATCCGGATCATCAAGGTGTATTTGTTTTTCATTTTCAAGTTCTGCGAGTGGCCGTGGGCAGGAACGTGTCTGTGGCCGAAGGGAAGGAGCTGGACCTGACCTGCAACATCACAACCGACCGAGCGGATGACGTCCGGCCCGAGGTGACGTGGTACTTCAGCAGGACGCCTGGCAGCACGGTGCCCGGCCCCCACGTGCTGGCCCGGCTGGACCGAGATTCCCTGGTGCATGGCTCTCCTCATGTCGCTCTGAGTCACGTGGATGCACGCTCCTACCGTTTACTGGTTCGAGATGTGAGCAAAGAGAACTCTGGCTACTACTTCTGCCACGTGGCGCTCTGGGCACCGGGACACAACAGGAGCTGGCACAAGGTGGCAGAAGCCATGTCTTCCCCGGCTGGCGTGGATGTGACCTGGCTGGGTGAGTGGTTCGGAGGGCGTCTCTCAGCCCCTCTGTCGCAGCCCTTCCTCGGGGCCGTCAGGGGTCGTCAGGGCGCAGCGCAGTGCATGCTATTTTGGCATCCTTGGTGTCGGGACAAGCATACTTTAGCCTGGATGGGTCCCAGGCTGGGGGTGAAAACAAAACTGGCCAAAACAGAATCTGGCAGGCGAGGGCAATGCTTAGATAATGTGGCCTCAGTTGTCTCAATACCCTCATTTACGGGGATAGAGTTTCCTTTTGTTGTCGAGATTTGCAGGGTCCAGCCCTGCTGAATGGCTCTTTGAGACGCACAGTCACGGTCCTGCGGGGGTCTGCCGTCGTTCCTCCTTCCCTTTCCAGACTCCTAGGTGCTCTCCGGAGGGAGCTGCTGCTTCCAGAGCCCAGTGCAGAGAGAGAATTCCTGCAGTCGCTGGAACACGCTGTTTGCACCGAATGCTCTAGAATCCTCAAATGACTTTATTTGCAGATACCAGTTAAATGGAAGGGCCCCTCTGCTTGTCCAGCTGCCCTGGTGGGCTCTCGCCCAGGTGTGATTCTCGCTGGAGGAGCCGTGTGGCTGTCAGCTGTTGGTCACCTTGCCACCCATGTATAACAACTTGTCACAGAAGTGACGATCATTGCCGTGTCTTTTCTTTTCACCATTGCTGCCTTCCCCACCTCTGATTGTCCCAAATGCGTGCCCTGCAAGACTGACAGGTTTCCTGGTTTCCATTACTGTCTTGTAATTCATTACAAGTACACCCAGGCAGGATGGAGTCGAGGGGCGTGTGCCGTGCTTCTCACCTCCATTATCACAGGGATGGAGACAGGCCTGCCGGTCAAACTCTGCCCTGGCCTGTGCCTGAGCTCTCTGCTGCCCCGAGGCTGTCCTGAGCCCCGCTGGAGGCATTTGGCATGGCTCTGACGATCGGGAGTTAGACATCTCTAAAGGCCAGGAAATCATTTCCTCCCTCGTCTGATGCTAAACATCCTCCCGCCATGACCCCCAGCCCACACTTGACCCTTCCTTCGCTCTGCGTTGATATCTCATGGGTCAGTGGGTCTGTGTCTCCCTGAGAAGCCTTTGTTTGGCAAAGATGCGGCGTTCGCAAGCAGGGACAGAGGGGCCAGGGCGAAGATGAGCAGTAAGAGAGGGAGCAGAGGGTGCAGCCAGTTCAGAGGGAAGCCAGGCAGGGCGTTCGTCATCCCTGGTAGCAAAGTGCGTCTTTGATGTTGGAAAAGTGAAAGGAACGGGGCTTATCTGGCTTTTATTCTTGCCGTCTGAACCCCACGCAAGAGGCTCGCTCTGAAGTACTGAACTTGAACAATGCTGGCCCAGCCAGAACTCTCCTTAGCAACCTGCAAAATAAAACAGATGTTGTCAGCACCGAGAGATGTTTCATCTCTGGAGCTGAATTTGTCTCTCAGCACTGATCCTCAGAGCGTTTGTGTGGTGCTGTCAGATCCTGGGGCTGCCACTCCCGCCCCTCCCCCTCCAGCTCAGGATCACAGCTCCAGAGGTTTTTTCAGAAAGTGCGGCCTTCTCTCCAATTTGAGGGCCTCTTTTATAAGTACTCTTGTGTTGGTCCAGGCACGGGGGGGCGGGGTGTGCAGGGACTGGCAGAGAACTGGAGGGGAGCTCTGGGAGGGAATGGACTCTCTTAAGCGGAAGGGATTTGTTGGTGTCTGTGTTCTCCAAAGTGGGAAGAAATAAAGAGACTGAGCCGTGGGAAAAGGTTTGGTGGCCATCCTAAGGATCCAGTTGTTTGTTCTGCAAAGTGCCGGCACCATTGTCGCAAAAGTCACCTGTGTGCGTTTCCCTGGCTGGGGCCGAGGTGCACAGGACCCCACACCTTGCCCGGCGTTTCCGACGTAGCGGGCACTCAGTACACGTTGGCTGGCTGGGTAGGTAAACCGGCGCCAGACTCATGGGCAGTGCTGAAGTGGGTGCACAGGAAACCGGGAATTGCAGAGAAAGCAGTGATGTCCGACTCAGACTATTCAGGGGCAGTGGCACCGGAGGAAACCTAAGCGGGTGAAAGTGGTGTAAACCGACGGCATTTACTCCTCTCTCCCTCGGAAATCTCCTCCTTCCCGCGCCGGTGACTCACCCCTGACAGCCGCTCGGACGCTCGCCCGGAGGCAAGTCCGGTGTGGGGTCAGCAGCGGGCTTTCTTTCTCCGGCCTCCCCAGCTGGACCGTCTGCCCAGAAACCCGTGGGCCCGGCCTGACATGTGGTTCTCTCTAGACACGCACCGTGTCCGTCTGTGTACGGATGCGGCCGCCACACCATGTGCCACTGGGGGCCTGGCAGGGGTGACTGGCTGAGAGGCGCCCCCAAGGGACAGGGAGACATGGCCTGAGAAGTGCTCTCTTGAATGTAGGTCACCTTATGTTGTGAGGAGACTATGGGATGTTGTCACAGAGAGTTCTTAAGAAAGTTGGTTTCCTCTTCAGGTGTTACACAAAACTCCCAATTTTGCTAATTGACATATTTAAAATATTAATAATAATGAGCATTTATTGAACACTCGCAGTGTGCCAGGCACCGGGCTAAGGGCTTTACATGCGTTAAACAGTTAATCCCCACGGCAGCCTTGTGAGCGAGGCGCTGCCCTACCCCCACCTGGAAACCACTGGTTTTTACTGGGCTTATGCTTTTGAGGGTCAGGAATTAGGGAGGACTCAAGGGCTCCACCTCTGATGCACATGGGACGCCGGGGTGGCTCAGTCTGGGGAGCCCCTTCCAGATGGCTTCCTCATGCACGTGTCACCATGCTGCCTGTCCCCACGCGGTGTCTCATCCTCTGAGAAACCCAAGCCATGTGGGTTTCTCAGAGCACAGTCTTCTCAGGGTGTCCCCTGCTTACAGGGTGGCTGGCTTCCCGGAGGCAGGAAGTATGAGTGCCCAGCCAGTTCAAAGCTGTCCCCAGGACTGACACAGTGTTGCCTCCACTGCTTCCTGTTGGTCAAAGTTACCACAGAGGAGGCTTAAGTTCAAGGGAGTAGTGAGAGACACCCCATCTCTTAATGGGAGAGTAGCAAGGTCCCATCGTAAAAGGGCATGTGGCGGGTAAGTATTGCTGCAGTCATCTTTGGGAAATAGAATCTGTAACAGTGGTTAAGGCCTGGTTTATTTCAGAAGAAATGTCAAAGATGGCTTAGAATGATGGCCCTGGGTCTAGTCTATTCCAAGGGTTGTCATCTTAAGTGGAGTCTGTCTCAAATATTGTTACCTTACGTGGAAACCTCTTCGGCTTTGGGAATCAACTTCACTCTGGACTCGCAGGGGTGTCCAGCCGTGGCCTGTGGGCCACAGGCGGCCCAGGATGGCTATGAATGTGGCCCAACACAAAATCATAAATTTACTTTAAACCCTTTTTTTGCTCATCAGTTTTCATTAGCGTTTGTGTATTGAATGTGTGGCCCAAGACAACAATTCTTCCAGTGGGGCGTGGCGACGCCCAAAGGTTGGACACCCCTGCAGAGCATAGCGTCCTCTAACAGCTGGGCCATTCCTGTCCTTGTTCGTCTGGGGTTGGTGCTCGGGGAAGATGGGGGCATGAAGCGGACTGGGACCTTCTCACGTTCTACTGCGCGGACCAGACCGAGATCCGGGCATCGGCGTGAGTGGCTCTGGCAAGTCCAAGAGCACTGGTAGCAGCTGGAGGACCATGATGGGGTTTTTTAGAGGGTAAGAAAAGGCCTCTTTTACTTGGGGCTTATGTCCTATTTTTGAAGGGGAAAAATAAGATTTAAGTTGGCTTGTAAAATGAATCGCAATCCAAAGCAGGAGACATAAAAGTAAAATCAAAATCAAGGGATAGATAGTACAAGTTGGGCTACTGTGTTCGAACACTGGATTTGCCTCTGAAGTTTTAAAGGGTTAAGCAAAAAGAAACGTGATTATACAGTTCTCTGGTGAAGGAAAACAAACTCAGAGAGACAAACTTTTTCTTGGCATGGGATTTATCGTGTGCTTTTTTATTTAAGGGGCATTGGATAACATAATGGACAGTGCTTTCAGCTGTTCTTTTACAGAAGAACAGGGATTGTTTAAATGGATGTTTCTTATATCCACTCTCTGTAAGAGCGGAGGGCATAAATCTAAAGTGTGTGAAGGAGTTTCTGTAAGGAGCTGAGTTACTGTGGAGGACAAGTGTTGCTTTGTGTCCATCCAATTTCGTATACGACTAAAACTATAGAGGACCGGGAGGAATAGCGGGTTGATCTGCATGGCACGCCATCTCTCGCTGCTGTCAGATGTCTTCAATGAGCCTTTGGCACGAGCTGGGTACTAATCAGTTCGTGGCTGAGCTCTCTGCCCGAAGTACCAGACTTCCGTGGTGTTAATTGGAGAGGCTTTCACGGGCTTCGGATATAAGAGCAGGAGGAAGCAGAGTTGAGTTCTGCTGTTGGGGCTTAAGCACCTGATTTGCATTCTTCCCCACCAGAGGACTGTCCCCTCTTCCAGCAGTGTGCCAGCGAGGAAGGTAATTATTTTTCTTTAAAAGGAGCTGTTAATCTGCTAAGTACTTGGTAGAGACTTCAGAGCTCTGTGCCATCTAGAGGAGACGAGAGTTAGAGCTGCAGACTTTTACGGGCACCTATTATTTATTAGCTGTCTGTCCAGGATTGCCTCTGGCGGCCTAAGAACAGGAGGGCAGGCGGTGGTATCCTGCTTCTGCACCTTCTGGGCAGGCTATCGTGGGCATGTCACTGAAGGTGTCTAAGCTTTGGTTCTCTTGGTTTCTGTGTGGCCACCCTTCGAGGCCAGGCAGGTCCATGGTATTTGCACAGACGGAAAAATATTCACGGAGCCGTTGGGATGTCTGGCATGCCTTTATTCACAGGTGGGCGAGCCATGCATGCTGCAAGCTGCGTGTCTATCTGCATGTCTCATGTCGTGGCCCCTGTGCCCCAGCGCGGCGCCCATCGTGACACCGGTCCCCTTGTGTGTCTCTCTCTCATCATCATCGCCCCCAGCAGGGAGTCCCTAC